GGAGGGCCGGCTGCATCCGCAGGCTCGTCAGGCGCTGGGTTTCTATGGCGACGTCTATTATCCTGTTTTATAGAGAGATGAATCAGGAGCTATAAATACGCGGGTTGATCGGGGCGGTGCGGGCAGCGCGCTCTGCCTGCGTGCAGAGTGCCGGCAGCGGGCAACACTGGAGGGGCATTGCAGTTCAGGGTGGCATTGCCGGTGGATGGATGAGCAGCTCCCAGCCGGCACGGGACAAGCTGGCACCCCTGTGCCGGCACCCAGGGTGATGGTTGCATCCCCAGCCACAGACTCCAGCTCCCGCATGGCAGGATCTGGGCTGTCCCTACCCCGTGACGGCTGTCCCGTGTCCCACTTTCAGTCCCCATGGTGGCCTTGGGTCACACCCCACCCTGTTGGACATCACCTCCCCAGGAGCATCTGCCAGCACCGGAATGGCGACGCACAGCGCATGGCACAGGGTGAACGACACACGGCACGTGGCGCAGTGTCACACAGCACGTGGCAGGAGGCAGTTGGTACAGAGCGACCAGCACGTGGCTTTGGGCGCAGCAAATGGCGCACAGCACTTGGTGTGCTGCGCGTGGCAGCGGCGCGGCGCAACGCCCGGGGCGCAGTACACAGCACATGGCCCACGGCACACAGCCCATGGCCCAGAACACGGCACGTGGCATGCAGCACATAGCACGTGGCATATAGCAATGCGTGCGACTACACGGCACACAGCACATGGCACGTGACTTGCAGCGCAGGGCGCACGGCACATGGGGCGGCACGTGGCGAAACACGGAGCACATACCATGAAGCACGCAGCAAGCGGCACACGGCACATGGTACATGGCACACAACATGTGGCACACGGAACATGGCACACAGTGCATGACACATGGCACACGGCACAGTGCGTGGCTTGCAGCATACAGCACGTGGCACACAGCGTGTGGCACGTGGTGCATGGTGCGCGGTACACAGCACATGGCAGAGCACACAGCACGTGGCGCACAGTACGTGGCACGTGGTGCACGGCACACGGCACGTAGAGCGTGGCACGCAACCCACAGCGCAGCACATGGCACACAGCACACGATACACGGCACGTGGCACGCGGCACATAGCGCATGGCACGCAGCGCACGACACACGGCACAGCACGTGGCACGCAGTGCGTGGCACGCAACCCACAAGTGCACAGCACAGCACGTGGCACACGGCACGTGGCACGTGGCACGCGGCAGAGGCAATGTGCTGGGCAGGGGCAGGAGGAGGGTGCCGGCGCTGCCTCCGCTCCCGCTTCCGTGGCCTGGATTTCAAAAAGGGCCGCGGCACAGCGGGGCGGGCGGCCGCTCCGGCACAACTTGAAAGCGGCGGCTGCTCAAAAGTACCACGGCTCCAAAGCGCCGGCGCTCCCCTGCACGCCGGTCGCGCCCTTGTCGGCTCTCTCCGCCGGCCGGGGCTGGGTGGCACGGTGAGGGGCACGAGGGGGACGGGCAGCGCCCCGGGAGCTGCCTGTCCCTCTGCCCACGTCCCGCTGAGCACCCAACAGGGAGGTTTGGAGTCGGCGCCCAGAGAGCACATGGCACTGGCACAGGGCTGGTTGCTTTATTGGGGGTGTCCCCCCCCACACGCACACCAAGGGGGGATTCGTCATGCAGCCTCCAAACGATGTCACAGCGACAGACAAGCGGGGACCGAGGGGGACAGCAGGGACAGAGTGGGAATGGGCTGCGGGGCACGGACCGCCGGGACTGGGCAATGCCCGCTGGGGACCCCTGGCCCCCTGGGCAGTGCAGTGGGGGTGTCCTGCACCGGGGCAGCGGGACCGTCCCCGTGTCCCTGGCCAGGTGCCAGTGGGGGCACGCTGCCGGCTCCCGGTGCTCCCCCTGCCCGGTGAGGAAGGGTCTGCGGCAGGGCTGGGACCTGGTGGGGACCTCATCCATCCCTGCGCCACGCCAGGGGAGCCAGGGGGGACCTCACTGGGGCGAGCTGAGGTTGGAGTCGGGGGTCTCAGGCTGGGGGCAGCGGGGCGGGAAGGCCTTGTAGCTGTAGTACTCCACCACCTGCTTGGGCACCTCCGCCAGCACGCACTTCGCCAGAGCCGTCGGTGATGCCTGCGGGACAGGGGACAGCGGGGGACACCGGGATGGATGGGTGAGTCAGGGCAGGGTGGCACCCACCCGCCCTGGTGTGCAGAGCAAAACCCACAGGGCACTAGCATGGCGTGACGCGATGCTCGGTCCTGCAGTGGGGCCAGGAGGGGATGAGAGGGGACAGGAGGGGTCAGGAGGGGACAAGAGGACCACTGATGCCCCACTCACATTCTTGAACTCCCGGAAGGGGACGAACTGGACGATGTCACGGAGGACAGGCTCGCCCTTGGGGGAGCGCAGGATGCCATCGTCCCCATCCAGGATCTGCATGTCGGTGAAGTCGGCGTTGCCCACCCCCACGATGATGATGGACATGGGCAGGTAGGAGGCGCGGACGATGGCCTCCCGCGTGTCCGCCATGTCCGTCACCACCCCGTCCGTCAGGATCAGCAGGATGAAGTATTGCTGGGAGGAGGAGGAGGGTTGTTCTTGGAGGGGCTGCCTGGCCCCGCTGCCAGCCCCATGCGGGAGGAGCCGGACAAGGGCTCTGCTCTGACATG